GATGACGATGATTTGAGACGATGATGTGAGGATGATGAGAGAGCGACTAATTTCAATTTTTAGTCCACAGAAGTGAAGAAGTAATTAATTAATAAAGGACTCTCCGCGTCAATAACACAAGATCGAAAATAATTACCGCGAARCTATTTAAGACTTTGGAATTATAACTAAAAGGTAAAAGTCAAAAATACTGAAGACGTAAATTGAACAAAAGCAGAATAAAAAAAGAAAAGAACAGAACAGAATAGAACAGAACAGTACAGAAGAGAGCAATATCCTCTAGGTTAAATAGGCTAAAGGGTCCTCCGTGGAGGGAATGGTATTAATCCTACTGTTTGACGCAAGCTAACCCAAGCTTTCCTTGTAAATTATCGCATTAAAARCATTATTACACGCACATACATCTTCAAATTTTACCATATACAATTCTCATATTYTCGTTTTCTCGTATTAGTCACTCCTCTTTATATTTATACAATCTTACGAACCAATTTCCATTATTTCTTTTTCTTTTTTATTAACTCCATACTTTTTTACAATTTGTCCAAATACCTTACATATTACTCCYTACATATTCACAGCACACAACTTCAATACCCAAACAGACACGAACACTAACGTAAACGACTTCGGAAGCAAAATACAATCTCATGAAAATATTAATAGCACAACAACCGAAGAAATTAGAATGCTAATGTCCCAAATCAAAATAAGAAATGCACCAGGCTACGATCTAATAAATGGTACAATACTAAAACAAATGCTACCTAAAGCGATTAGAATGMTCACAATATTATTTACCGCAATATTACGTGTTATAAATAATATAACGAAATTYGATGTCAAACAGCTGCTACCTTTATTTTTTATCGAATAAACTCATMAGGATAATAACAAAAACATATACGAGATTAATACCCTGCTTAAKACAATAATTAAAGTCGAAGCACTTAGAACTAAAAGAGAAATACCACAATGCAAACGATGCCAAGCTTATGGACAAACAAAAAATTTACTGCAACAGAAATCCTGCCTGTGTCAAATGTGCATAAAAACATTTAAACACACTCTGTCCACAAGAGGGCAAAATCGAAAACGTCATATGTGTAAACTGCAACGGTAACCACCCAGCAAATTGTAAAGGATGTCAGCCGAGGAAACTACTACAACGAAAAATGTTTTCAACGATAAGAAAAAAAGTATTGGAGAAACCTATTCTAGACGAMGCTTACAAGGAAATTCACTACAATAAACGAAACGAAAATGCCAACAGGGATAAAATCCCAATATGTTAACACACTGAATCAAGAAGCAACGCTGAAGTGACCAATCGAGCACATACAAATAAAAAAGACTTAAACACTGAAGAGACATCGGACATCAATGAACTATTAAAACAATTACAATAATTCTTCTCTAAGTACACAATAAATAATATTCTTTATAAATTACTAAATAAATTCTCTAAGTACAGTTAAATTATTTTCTTTCTATTTTACTATTATATATAGYTCACGTGTAAGTGTTTGTCTACAATTAATAAAAAAGGAACGCGAATAATTAAAGAATTTAATTTGTACATTATTTAACATTTCATAGACTATAGTGTTCATATTAATTATTCAAAAGCATTGAAGTATTTAAAAAAGTGTTATCCTTGACAACAATAACTGATACGTAAGATTGCTCTTATTACAATCATAGTTCATTCCTCTAATTTTTCCTATTTTCCAGATTTAATCATGCTCGCTATCTTGTTAGGTTCAATTTTATTTCTATTTGCATTACATTGTGTTATAAGATATAGAAGAGTCGGAAGACTTTTAAGTCTTATTCCAGGACCTCACGAATATCCAATAATTGGAAATATACATCATTTTCAAGGTGACGATGGTGTGTGTAAGGAATATTAAAATATTTTTATTTAGGGGAATTATATAATAAACTGTGATTCTTTTCTCACTTGATAAAGTTCTTACTTAATATTAACCTATTGTCAATGATTTAGATCTTTTACTTCAAAAACTATGGAGAATAGATAATGAGTATTATCCAATCTATAAAGTATGGATTTTATTTTTTCGTTCAGTAGTTTTACTCGATCCCGAAGATATTCAGGTAAATTATTACAAAATAAAAACGAAATTAATTTATTTTTCTTTTCTTTTAACTATCATATTAAGGATAWAAAAAAGATRAATGTGGTCCATTTTATTCATTACAAAATATTCATAGTCGAATATTTTTTAAACCAGAACGATAATTTAAAATAACTTTAAACAWAGCATGGCAGGACTATCTATGTATTTTCTTATAACAACATTTTTAAAAAAACTTATTTTAATTATTGCTAATAAATCCTCATGTATTAAAAATTCTAAGAAAAGGATAAAAAAAAATGTTGATATATAAAAGAATAAAAGGTCCTGCTGTCCAGAATTAAACGTATATCGAAAATAGAAATGCATATAAGTTAAAAAATTTTTATTTCCATCTAAGGTACTATTAAAAAGCAATGAACATATTGAAAAAGGAGTCTTTTACAAATATCTTAGGCCCTGGCTTTTTWCTGGATTACTTACAAGCGACGGTAAGCATTTTAAAAGAGTACAAATAATATAATATTTTTACTATATAACTAAAATAAAGAATTCGTAAATAATAAAATTAAATAAGGCGTAGTATAAATTCGTCTTTATTCGTTCCTATTTAGAGAAAGTTTTAATTGAACCTTATCCTCGAAGTAAACATGCTTGACAAAGGAGCAACTATCCCGGAGCGCATATTTATCTTCTAACAAATGTCAYGACAATCGGAAAACTTCAGATATTACCTAATGCTTTCATATCATATAAATAAACACATAAATACCACGGACGAATACTATCCTATAAATCCTTAAAATAAAAAAAGAATGAAACGCAATTCGTCCTGAAACCTTTCAATATATTCAATAATATTTTAAATATAACCTAATTTGACAGGTACAAAATGGCACATACGWCGAAAGATGTTAACTCCTGCATTTCACTTCAATATCCTTAAACATTACTTTATTAACTTAAATAAGGAATCACAAAATCTTGTCGAATCTCTTAAAAAGGAGAAAGATGGAGGCCCTGTTGTCAAAGATTTACGAACATTTATCAGCAACTATACTCTCAACGCAATATGCCGTTAGTTAAAAAAACAATTTTCGATTTTTTACAAAAGTAGTAAAAAAACAGATTAACGAGACCTTGGTGCTATTACGATATTATATTTAGGCTAACACCATTTGGTAGACTACAAAAAGAAGCGTTGAAAACGTTGCACAATTTTTCRAGAAATGTACGTCTTTCATAATAATCATTTATATCTACGTTTTTCGAAAATATCTAGATTAGGAAAGTGTTACATTTATTTCAGATAATTGCGGAAAGAAAACGTTTTCATAAACAAACTAATGGGAAATATTTGCTAATCAATGAGAATATTGAGAAGGATGACGTTTCTTATAAGGATCCGSARAAGRACGATGAGTGTATTCAAATTTTTTAAATAAAAATAAAGTTATTTGAAGAAAAAAGGTTAATAGAATTTTGATGTTACAGATTTGCAGTCCAAGGAAAGACTTTCTATGCTAGATCTGCTCATAGCCGCATCTTGGAATGATAATCAAATAGATGAGGAAGGAATTCGTGAAGAAGTTGATACTTTCATGTTTGAAGTAGGTTCTCGTAAATATATAAACTTAGAAGACAAAAGTAGAAAAATGTTTGATGAAATAAAATTTTCTAGGGCCACGATACTACTGCAAGTGGATTATCCTTTGCTTTGAGTCTTATTGCTAAGCACAAAGATGTCCAGGTAATAATACTAGACAGAATTATCAGCTTAAATGATTAGCGAATGAAACAATATTTTACTTTTAATACATTATTGAATAATTAATCATTGAATTATTTCGCTYATTTTAGTAACTTGTTTTTAATACTAATGAATAATGATATTAACTTTAAATAAAAAGTTTTATCGGTACTCGAATTCAATCAAAATTGATTAAAATTTACAATGTTTTCAGGTTTAGCGATTTACACAGTTGATACAATGAATAATAAATGACGTATTTCTTTTTAGAAAAATATAAGAGACGAGGTTAAATCGATTATGGAAGAAGATAATAACTTGACGATATCATCGTTTCAAAAACTTTCGTATTTGGAGAGATGTATAAAAGAATCGCTTCGTTTGTATCCAAGCGTCCATCTAATATCTCGTCAAATTACTCACGATATGCAGCTAAGTATGAAAATATATGCATATATATATATACTTTCATATCACAGTTATACTATCTATTATTTATTTTTTTTTTCTATGTAATTGCATTTATTTGGCAGAACATTATTTAATTCCATCTGGTACGATGTTGGGAGTTGTCATTTACAGCGTACACAGAAATCAAAAATATTGGCCAAATCCAAATGTTTTTGATCCGGACAGATTTTTACCGGAAAATATTAAAGGACGTCATCCCTATGCCTACATTCCATTTAGTGCGGGACCGAGAAACTGTATTGGTATATGTCTCATGTTGAAATCAGCACAGAAACTATACAATTTTTTGTTTTCATTCTTGTATTTTTCATGCTGCAGGTCAAAAGTTGGCAATGCTCAAGCTTAAACTCTTTGTAGCTTTTATATTGTACAATTTTGAGCTGGTACCGGTTGATGAGTTAGATGACGTTACGTTTTCGGCAAATCTCACTTTGACCTCGTCTAAACCACTTCGAGTCAAATTTATACCAATTACATAGTTATTTTTATACATATTATCTTTTACAAAGTTACATAAATTCAAATTTATGATTTATTTTGGACGTCATACATACTATCTTATAGATCTTGTTCTGTTTTCGTTAATAAGTTTGTATTTTCTTTTCTKTAAACTTAGTGAATCATTCAATAAGATTGATCGATAATGTAAGGGAATAAATATTGAAGATAAACGARTTTAATAGTTAGTAAATTACTTTTATTAACCATGACTTGAATTATTTTATTCTWGTTTATCGGTGTTGTGACAGAGGCTAATCCCTCTAGCTACAGAAGAATGTAAAGATATTACTTTTGTGGGACGAGCGCCTCCATGCCAAATACTTAAATAGGCATTCGTGAAGAGATTGGACGTGGACTCTGGATAGCTAAAAAGCCGTCACTCGGAAAGCGAAAGATCCGGTTTGGAGTCCCGGTCCAGTCAGTCCAACGGCCAATAAAAGTTAACGGCTTAAAAAGTTTTTATTTGCCCCTTTTTGACTGGCCTACTATAGATTTATTACGTCTTATGGCGCAATGAGTGTGGTTAATTTTTGGTCAAGCTGACCAGGGAATGAACTAAAAAATTATTAATGTGTTAGCGAGTGATGAGATTTGGATGTGACAAACTGGCAAGGAAAAAGATAGTTAAAGTAGAAAATTAGTTAGAATTATAAATTTGCATCTCGATAGCTCAAAAAGTTCTTAGTTGCCCCTTTTTGACTGGCTTATAGGAAATAATTTTTTCTATGGGTTATAATATATATAGTTTAAATATTAGAGGCGATAATATGAATAATAATGGTTATAATACTAATTAGTATTTATGATAATAGAAATAATTAGTAAATGTATTTATTTTTTTGTTATGATAATATTATAAATCGCAAGTAATAGTAATAGTGTTAATATTAATAGTAATACCAGTTAATAGTGATAAAAGTTATAGTATGTAATAGAAATGAATGGTAATAGTAATAGTAATATTTATTAGTAGAAGACAATATATAAATATAATTTCATGCATCATTGTATTCGTGCAAATACGTTATAGTATCTCTTGTATAAGATTAATTGCTACATTGTTCCTTTGAATGTATTTTGTGAATGTATTTTGGTACAATGCTAAAACTTTAATGGTATCCGGCAAAAAGCAAGAAAAGTAACAGAATGGTAAGTATCTTGAAAATTATCCTTGCTTGAAGAAAAAATACTTACTTACTTACTAGTTTACTACAATATCATTTGTAACCACAGTGGTATATAAAACATAATTTGTTCTTCATCTTTTTTTTATTATTTATTGATATTGTGACGTCTTGCTATTTTACATATTCCATTTTCCAGCCGTAAAGACATTTTCGCGCTTACCGCCTAGCCTTTTATTAATTATTCTACTCTCCGTTTTTTTTTCTTCAGATCAGTAGCTGGAATAAAAGACAAGCGAAACGCAATTTAGTAGTTAAGTAAGTTATAATAGAGACACAACTCAGTGGTTAAACAAAAGACAAGCAAGACTTAATCCAGTAGGTTTTATAAGAAATATTCGAAACTAATAATTAAGATTAAAAATGAATCTGTAATTCTGTCGATAAACGAAATTCACAGCAGCAGCTAATAGACCACTCAACTAAAGAAAAACTGAGCTAATTGTGTTTCTTGGCCAAAAACTTGATATAATGGTAACTCGACGACGCTGAATCGAATGGTGCTAATTTTTTTGCAATTTGATCAGGAGATATTTGAGAAAAAGGGTAAAAAATGGTAAAAAAGCCATATCTTAGAATCTATGCATTTAATCGAAAACAGTTTCAAACAAAAGTTGTGCAAAATTGAAAGGGTTGGATTATATCATCAAGTCTCAATTTGATTTATAATTTTGTCTAAATTTAACGCTAGTGAATTTTCTAAATTCTCGACTTCATTTCTTCTAACTTTGTATTCGCTGCGTCCACACGAAGATCGGACCTCCGACTCATTGCGTTTCTAATTTGTAAGTATAATTTGTTATTAAAAATTGTGTATTAATAAATTGTGTCCGGAGCGGTGGAATCATTCTTCCTGCTCTTTAACCTTTCCTAACTCCACGTATATTTTTTATTTATCAAAGTCATCATTTTATTCAAAATTTACAGTTAATTCTTTACCTCATAAAATTAAGCCGCCTGATCCCAATAAAGTCCCAAGAAAGGGACGAAACGTACAACTGGTTCGAAATAAATCGTTCATAAAGATTTAATAACCGTCCAAAATTCCCTGTGAGACTTATGTGAATGTTATTACGATGTTTTTGTGTTTAAATAAATTCTTATTTATTCTTTCAATAATAATTGATTATTTAGTAAGTGCTTGCTTTTTTATGCATGGGAATTCAATTTGATTTATTTTATAAATAATATTTTGGATCCAGGAAAAGTAGGAAGAAATGCGTATATAAAGAGAATACGAATGACTATCACAAATTGAAGTACCTCCTCCTAAATTTACACTAATTCCAGAACTGACAATACCTCTTAAAAACCATAATTCTCTAGTTTTCAATAAAATTCCCCCTCCACTATCACCATCACAGACAGATGTTCCTAGAAGAAAAGTATTATTCGCTTGATATCACTCTTATGAATATGTTACTTTTTACATATTTAGTTTTATCTTTTACTAACCATTTGTATAGCCCGCACAAAATTTGTCATTCGTTATATACTGCTCATATATAACAGAATTGTTTATATCTTTGCATTGAATATCAGAAACGTAGGGCAGTGTTGTTAATTGGAGAAGAGGACTGGTTGACCCAGAAGCAGTAAATCCAAATCCCGCAACTATTCCTTCTCCAGACTCAATAATAGTACCATCTAAACAAGCTGGTGTTAACATATTTGTAAATACAAATGGTACTTCAATTTCTAAGAGAGCTATGTCAGAAGCATAATTTCCTGATGAGCCCAAATAATTACAATGGACATAAATATGTTTTACCTGAAAAATAATATATGATACATTTGACAATAAATAAGTTACATAAATCAATTCGAGGATTCATATTGACAAAACCGCTTGGCATTGTGGCCAACACCTAGGAAAAGCTCACATTTCCTGAAGGTCTCATTATCCCTATAACATATATATTCATAAATTGTTTGCCATAATAAAATTTAAATTATATATGTTACTTTTACAAACTGGTATATAATCCCAACTTCCATTAGATGTACATCTTGCAAATTCGAAAATCGCAACTTGATAACCGAAATTACATTCGCAATACAATTGAGATTTGAGAGGTAATTCTTCACCCTCTTCTACTTGTTTTTTAAAATTAAAGCCTTCTTCTAAATATATGGCCCAAATACCATTATCAAGCCGGGGAGGCACTAAGCAAGAGTTTGCTTTATCTGCACCATTTGAAGGTTGTAAGAATGTTAAGAAGGCTAAGAAAAGAAAGTAATTGATTAACTATCTTATCATTTGTTTAGTAAGTTAATTACAAGAACTATACAGAGTAATAAACCAAAACCTTTTATAATAAGATGGTCTTTTACCGCCTAAGTGGAAATGACAAATTACTCCTGCATTCATATTATATGCAAAATCTAATTTGTAGGGAGACGTATTAATTATTTTTGATAATCAATTTTTAGGAGCTTTTAGTATCGCTGATTATGAATCTGATATTATTAAAAGAGAAAATAACTGTACAAAGAATATTTCATTAAAACATTATTGGAAGCAAAAAATTAGGGTTTTAGCAGCGGTTTCTTACTTCATATGTTTCGATATTTTTTGCTGCATTAAGAGACGTCTCGAACGATATTTGGTAAACAGATTTAAATTTCCCTCGTCTAGTTTTGTCTAGTTATCCTTTGGTAAAACTAGACCAAAGGATAACATGACCTCGAACTACCCCCACCAGTTCCTGTCAGCAAAGTTATTGCGTTACGTGACCCGAATTATTTTTCACAAGTCGTAGGTCTCGTCTTTAGTCTAATGAATTTTGACGACTGCTTCTCTACCTCTTTGTTTCGTTACTATCATATTATATTAATTCCTTTCTACTCTCGGGATGGTAATTTTCAGCTTCTAAATTATCGCGTAAGACACGAGTTCTCCATCACTGTGTGCAATTAATCTTATCATAATACATATGAGAACTTGCTATTTTCTCATTAATATAAATAATATTATTCTCCGAGTTAAATGACTTTTTATAATCATACGTAAATCAGGTTGCAGAATTTTTTTAACAAAAAGCGTTGTGTGTGCTTGCATTAAATTATTTACAATAAATATATTTTATTTTGATGGTAGAGGAAACTAAATTTCTTTCTGCATACGTCTAATGCGGTGTAACATTTCTTACATTCTTTTTGAATGTTAATTTTAAAAAATTAACATTCACATATATAACGAATTTCGGATATATTAGCAAAATATTTAACATATAGTGAAGATTAAAGTTTCTTTAAAAGATAATTTATTACTTGGGATTTCCGAAGTTTGATAACTCTACTCAAAACTAAGTGCACATGTCATAATAACGTTATCGCTTATTTTAATGGATAGATATATTTATTAAGAAATTTCTTGTTTTTTTCTTCTATACGTTAGCAATTTAGTCTACAAGCAAAGATAACAGATAAATTAACTTTTAAGCGTTTGCTTTGTTCAAAAGTTCAAAGCAAATATATTAAACGACATTTAACTGGTATTTTTGGTTCATATATCACAAAGTTTAAAATAGCATATAATTCCTTTTCAAAAGGACGTTCGTGATTACGTCTGTATAACTAACATCTACGAGAAATAAAATCTATTATATTACTTATTTCATATTTATTTCCCTAAATAAATTGAAAGTTTTTTGTCATAATTTCTGACAAAACACCAGTTCTTAATCATTTAGTATTTTGGATTACTACTTTTTAATAATAAATTTAAGAGCTTATGTTTACCTGGCATTTTTGCTTTTTTTTGGTTGCAATATATGCGGAAACTTGAAATGGGAAAAAATTAGGACATACTATATATATAAAACATGTCTCAATTTTAAAGTTTAATGATAAAAATATCGAAAATACATGAAATAAAATGATCGAATAAAAAGAAAGGAGAAAAGAAATTAATCTATGAGCTTATTTGTCATTAAATATTTGTCATTAAATATTTTCATAATCTAATTAAATATCGAGGAAAAGATACAAATTATTGGCTATTTAAATCCATGTTTATATATTTTTTAGAACTAATACTTTTATTTATAAATTGATTTTCATGATAAATATTGATTAGGATTTTTGTATTTTAACCAATGCGTTTTCTAATAAATTTCGGTACTACGTATGTAATTCTTTTCTAATATTCTAAAAAAGCTGATTCAAACTATTATTTTAAAAATCTCGCATCATTCAATCACATCATTAATCTATTCCTACCATTTTAAATAGAACATGGGTATATATAAATTTAGAGTTTATATAAATCTTTCGAAATACAAAATAATATGATGTAATTGTATTACTTACAGCCAAATGCAATAAAAAATAAACACTTTCTATCTGCAATTCCCATAATGATTAAAAGAAAACTATAGAAAATAAACTCATTCGTGAAAATAATATTCCAAGTTATTTCCGTATCGTGTTTTCTGTCATGAAGAAGAATTTTCTACTGGTTGCTCGTCAGTTCGATACTACACTCTGCAAAATTATTATATGGTTGCTATTTAAAATATGCGTAATATCAATACACGCGAACTATTGACCTCATGATTACAATTATGAGATAAAATCATATCAGAAGGAAACAAGTGTGAAAGAAGTATAATTTAATGTTATTGCAAAGATTTGTTTAAAATAGTTAGTCGGTATCATTTCTCTGTAATAATCAATGTATATTCCTTATCTCACGATTACAACTTTATATAAAATATAATATGATACATTTTTATTTAAAGCATTAAATTAGCTTTAAATAATATTACAAAAATATTCTAAATTTTACTGTAATAAATTATTGCAATTTGTTGGGAGTACATATTTGTGATTTTATGCTAATTGTGATTTTTAATATTTACTACCTTATTAATCACAGAAAATACATTTTTCTGAATTATTCATTGTCGAAATCGCAAATATGATATTGTACCGCAATCGCAGTTAGAGAGAATGTAAATATCTGCCATCTATATTAAATGAATCAAAAATATATACTCAAAATTTTAATACTGTGACATATCTATTTCTTGATTTTTCATATCAATTATTTATTCGGGATTGAATAACTCGGTCGGGTTTTATTTCGTGCGGATTATCGTGAGTAGCATAAGCGAAACTTCTCAGTGAGAGAACAAAGGTCGCGAAAGGCTTCGTCTTCGTGGTGGTTATAAGCAAAAAAATTCTTATTAATCGCCCCTTGAATGCTCTTGATGTCTCTGTACTTCTTGATAATCAGTTTGGGTTTCGAAATCGACACTCAACAATCGAGCAGATCCATCGGATAACTCGGCAGCAATCATAAAATCTTGAAGAAAAAAAATACTGTTCTGCAATATTCTTGGATATAAGGCAAGCTTTTTGATGAAAAGTGGCACACCGAAATACTACATAAGCTTCAAAAAACACTATCATAGTTACAGTGGGCCATACATAATAACATACTGCCATTAAGTTTTAGTTTATAGATGTGTGCATAGTACAGCGGCACGTACAGTTCCAAAAATCCGCCTAATGCTCGCTTTTGTGTGTGTGTGTTTAATAGTGAGGGAGGGGGGCTGTTATTCGATAATTTATTCTCTCTCTTCTTAACATTGCTTAAATAGTAAGTTAAAATTCTATAGGATACCAAAGTATTATGTTCAATACTTAGGAAAAGTCCTTAAAAATTCTTCTGTTTCCTAAATTGTCAAAAAACGCTTTGCATTGAGGGCAATGCCGGGTTATTGCTAACATTACCTGAATTTCCCCCTATTCCGGTAACATATACACCAAACAGAACCCAGTGCATAATTCTATTCCTTGTATTACATTACAGTTTTCTTCTGGGAAGCATTGTTTTATTATTTAATTTCCTATTACTGTTATTCAGAATGGAAAAGGCACCATAGAAAGATTTAGTTGTCTTGAAAGAGTGATAAATGTTAATATGACCATAAAAGTATTTATTTCACTATGTGATCATTTTTTTGATCGATATATATTCTAAAGCAGTATTTTTACATTTAGCACTAACTATCATTTTTCTACTCTTAAATGATTTTTCTTGACAACGCTGCTAAACAAAACGACTGTGACATTAATGCGCATGAAGAATATAAGAGCAACGCAACATTAATATGGACTAGTATGCTCACAGAGACAATGAAGTAATACTAAAAGATATCCTCTAAATGCATTTATTTAGTGTTTGTCGCAAAAGTCAGGATCGTTAGTGTATTCGCATGTGATATTGGGATAAAAGTCAAGGACTTCTTTCTTTGGCACTGTTATCACTGTAATATTTTCCCGCGAAAAAATATGTAACGTCAAATTATTGCGCGTACTATCATATTAAATTACATCTTTTGCGCTATGTGCATATGCATGTATATATACTTCTGTTTCTATTTTGCTTGACTAGAATCCAATTTTCTCACTTTCTTTTTCCCTGGAAATGATAACACTGCTCGCAGGTCATAGAGGAACATGCAAGTAACTTGTTTACCATCCCGGTTTTATCGTTAGATAACTTATATAATTAATTGCAATCTTCGATAGATATCTATATTTTTATATCTATAATTTTTTCAAATAAGGTCATAATAAAAAAATTTCAATTGCTGAAGAAGTCCCAATAAAGGGACGAAACGGTCAATGAGATCAAATTAAACGTTTTAAAAAATGTTTTCAACCTGTCCGATTTCCCTTAAAAGACACATTTATTAATAATTTTATTTTAGGACGAAATAAACAACTAATTGACGTTATTTAAATGTCGTATAAATAAAACATCAATTGTAGTACTATGTCGGGTTGTAGAAACTGCTTAGTCATTATTCATTGAAATATTTAAATCTTCACGTAAGAAGTCCATGAGTACATCAGAATTTCCTGAGTTGAAATTAACATTGAGATCTTCACTTAAAATCACTGGTAACTAATCCTCACATTCACCCATATATGTCCCTGTAATTGTTTTGTATGGAAATAATATCAGTTTTAAGAAATAAATAATATCTTCAATTGTTTGATTTGGAGAATTAATATAAATTGCTATCAACGCAATTTTATTTTACCATCTGCTGTTTTACACTCCACTATACAAAATTCACGCACTGATGAAATCGCAGAACTAGACTGTCTCACAGTCATGATGATGGGTAGCGGTCACAATGTTATTTGGTTGGCAAACTAAGTGATTGCGGATTTTGTCGATAGACAAATCACATTTAAATCAGTTTTTTGATAGGAAAGATCAGAAATTTTATGAACATGGAATCATAACACTGCCTGAACGATGACAAAAGGTCATCGACAAAAACGAACAGTATCTAATTGAATAAAGTTATATTTTTCAACAAAAATGTTGAATTTTCCTTCTTAATAAAAATTACAATCACTTAGTTGCTAACTCAATAGTTATATCATTCGAATGATAGATAGTCTGTAGTGAACTACTTCTGTTTTAGGAGTTTCAGGCATTTCGTACGCAACGCTTCCTATCTTTCCTCTTTACTTTCCGAAACACGTGAGAACGTCTGAAAAAAGGCCTCTATTCGCTGATTAGGGTATCTGGGATACATATTCTTACAGTATTTCTTCTCTCACTCTTATCGATGATGTAAGTATATAAGATACATATTTAGGAAGTAATTTTCTTGCCATATCGGTTTCTATCTGGGTTCTTCGTTGGTTATCTACAACATTTAATCACAAGCCTCAAGTGGAAGAATAGTACGAGTATCTTTGTTAATGGCCCAATAAGACGTGCCTAGCAAAGTTTTACAGAGTGAGAGATTGCGAATATCAACATTTTGATACACTCTAACTGATTAAAGTGAGTTTTTTGAACATAGGCAAGAATCTGCGATCTTTATGGATTGTACAAATAAATTTTTGTAACGATAATAATAGGCATTACATTTCTCTGCATTTGTTTTAGAAATCTCGAAAACTGAAACAGAAATTTAAATGTATACTGATACTGGTCAAAAAGCTGCAAGATATTAAAGTTTAATAAGAATTATTGTAGAAAATAATTTATAAATAACTGTGATGCACTTATTTTTCAATTCTTTTGATAGAATATTAATGCACATGGTTTCTTCCTAGTGTGAATAAAATGAAGACGATGTCTTCCAAAATCTTTCATGATTTCAGTATCATCGGCTTCTTTTTATTGTTGTTGAAAATAATGAGCTTTCTCTTTCAGTAAAATGATTGATCATCTATGCGGAGAGAATAAGTTTTCTAATGCCTTGAATAAATATTTTTCAAGAGAATAATAATATTTGTTTCTTTTAGAAGCAAGATTGTTATTTTTACCTTTTAATAGATTCATGTCATGCTTATTCCTTGTAACGATAAGATTAACATTCTATTCGCATAATAATTCACATGGAATTTCTACGAAGGAGACATTAGTTAAAAGAAATCTTTATACCGTTAACTATTGAAAAATCAAATTTATGCGCATAGATCCGATGCTGTCATAGAGTCTTTTTCTTGGGTGTATTATGGTCTTTGATTGGAATAAAAAATGTCAAATAAAAGATGTGTGTGATATCTACTATGTAATGAATAATCGCTTGCTACATGCGCAATTCAATTTCGTTATCTTTTCTCGATATGGAAATGTACTGTATGTTTTTAAATATTTAGCTTTTAATGTACATAACATTGTATAGAGATTCATGATGGAAAAATCATAGGTTAAAGAAAGCTCAGATTTTTACGCTTCTTTTTAACGATTAAGTTATCAATACATGTCGCACAATAATTTATCGTCATTATYATTTCTTCTATGGAAATTGTTTATTAAGCATTGCAACAATCTAACGATTAGACAAGTTTATTCTATAAGTGCAGAAGAAATAATATTCTTTATAAATTACTAAACGTACACCAATTCTTTAAGTACAGTTAAATTAMTTTCTTTCTATTTTGCTATTATATATAGCTTACGTGTAAGTGTTTGTTTATAATTAATAAAAAAGTAACGCGAATTTAATTTGTACATTATTAAAAATTTCATAGACTATAGTGTTCATGTTAATCATTTAAAAGCACTGAAGTGTTTAAATAAGTGTTATCCTTGACAACAATATTTGCTATGTAAGATTGCTCTTATTACAGTCATAGTTCATTCCTCTAATTTTGCYTATTTTCCAGATTTAATCATGCTCGCTATCTTATTAGGTTCAATTTTATTTCTATTTGCATTACATTGTGTTATAAGATATAGAAGAGTCGGAAGACTTTTAAGTCTTATTCCAGGACCTCACGAATATCCGATAATTGGGAATTTGTATCACTTTCGAATTGAAAATGGTGTGTGTGTAAGGAATATTACAATATTTTTA